TAGGATTATTTTATTTGTTTTCTTTGTTTATCTTTTAGGCTTTGAGAGGCTATAAATACCCACTTGGGGTAAGCCTAAACTCATCATTCGGATTACAATTTTCTTTTTTCTCTAGTTTTTATAAAAGTTTTCTCTTTTTACTTTTCAAGTTCTTTTCATTTTTCTTTTATTTTTCAAGCTTTGTTTTCAAAATGCTAAGTATGACTTTTGTCATGCTTAGCTAAACTTTTCATAATCCGAGAGTTGTCGCGATGACTCAATTCCATCGGGAGAATTGAAACAGACCCTTAATATCTTCGGAATATCTCTCTCAATCTCTGCGCTTATTTTTCAAAATCAAAACAGTTTTCAAAATCAAAGATTGACTTTGGTCAAGAGGTTGTTGTGATTAAATGTGTGGGAGGAAGATTCGGCTTATAGAAAACAATTCGACTTCCTGTGAACACACTTGGCGAGATAGCTTCGCCAAGAGGGAATTGAGATCGGAATTGACAGTTATTGAAGTAACAATCCGAGTCGGACGCCACGAACTTAAACGGTAATTGATCTACGACAATTGATGTTGTTAGAATCAATTACTGAAGCCGGAATCAAAGATTGCCTTGGGTATTCGGTATACAAGATAGAATCATAGGGATAACCCTTGTAGACAAAGTAACCGACATGAATCCCGAAGAGAAAATCTTATTCGATGATTTAAAGAAAATTGAGTCAAAGCGAAGCTTGAGACTATTTTCACCGTATTTATTCACAAACTTTATTCTCTTATTTTTTTTGATTTAAATTGCTTTTATTTATTTTTACCATTTTAATTTCATTTTACCAAATCCCCCATTTTACTATTTTTCGCCTGGTTAAAATCATTCAAACATTAATTTGTGATTTTTTAAGTCCCTATAGATTCGACTCTCACTTTTCTTTACTACAAATTTCTTTATTTATTAACCAAGAAAAAGGAATTTATTTTGACATCGAAAATGACAATTGTCATGTATATATGAAGTTAACCTTTTACTTTGTTTGCTATTCAAAACCAGTGACTGTTCGGTGTGGTATGAAACAAAGTTTATGGATATTTAAATCTTGTTGTTATATTCTTTTCGATATCGATGTGTCGGCGAGCGTGGGACGCCACATGGGACGCGGATTTGCCTTACCTTTCCCTTTTTCCATTACCAAGCAACATGTGTTTACAATGAAATTCCAGCATCTTTTTCCATTCCTACAGCTAGCTGTGATTTTCTTCAAGTTCTGCAACACTCTTATCTGTAGAGTATGTAAGTTCACTGTGCATCAATCTGGTTTCTTTAGAATGAAATATGTCAACAAGCTCTATTTGAACCATATATGTATGTATATGTGTATACTTTGAGAAATATAACCTAATATATCGAAACTTTGCATGTATGTCACTTGAAATGGAGAAACATCCTTGGATTCTCATGAAGAACTGTATTTCCATGCCCTTTATTTGAATCTTGAAGCTATTTACTGTCTAATTACAGGCTAATTTATTCCTTGTTTCAGTTGATATATGCATATATATGACTTTTGAATAATGATGAGAGGAGTTATAAACTTATAATATGATTTCAAGTTCAAGAAAAAAGCAAGAAGGCGAAATCAATGGTGACGTTAGCAAGGTCTCCAAGGGGCCTTCAAGTTCGAGGCAGTGGTCGGTGTTTCGGAATCCGAGGATCGTTCGAATGTTGCCTTCTTTCGGGGGGGGGGGGGGGGAAAGACCGGCATAGCAAAGTTTGTACGATAAGGGGATTAAGGGACCGTCGGATTAGGCTATCGGTGCCAACGGCAACTTCAATTATATGATTTGCAGAGAGAATTATGCAGGTTGAAAAGGAAAATGTTGCAGATACGAAGGGGAAATGGATCAAAGAGCAAGAAAATCTAAATTTTTCCATTAACCAATCATTGGGAGCCTTTCAACTCTTATAACAACTGTCAGTTGGAGCCTTGTTCAAATCTATCATTGTCCTCATTTCAGTTTGGAAGCCATGGATTTCATCACCAACCTGAAAACTTCAATGGTAACACTTGTCCGCCATTTCCGTTGGCACATTTGGTTACGCCGCAGTTATTTTTCGGCACACCCTCACTTTTCCCAAGATATCCTTTGTATGGAACGACGGCGAATCCAGGTAAATCATGGATAATTTCCCTTTATTGAAAATAAAAAACATCCGAGTGAAAATTTTCTCATTGAAACATAAAATGTTGCAGGCCTCAGTCATACACAAAATGATGATCAAAGTCATGCAGATGAGGATAATGATACTGATTAGTTCCTCATGGCTGGTTCAAGATTTCATACACAAATTATCAGCATGAGTTTCATATATATATATATATAATTGCTTCTAAATGCATTTTTTCTTCAGACGGAACAGTTTTTGAGTATGTAGGTAATGGCAATATGCCATTATTTATTTATTTTTTTTTAATCGGCTTCTTATATTGAATTTTGATGTACATAAGGGATGTATATTCTGATTTCTGTATACTGCAAGGACATGTGCATTAATTTCATGCAAAAACCACCTTCGTTAGGGATCTAAATTGAAGTTTCATTGAAATAAATTGATCATTTTATATACAAGTAATGATCATGTATATATGTCTATGTATAGTATTTGAACTATATATATTCTTATAATAAAATATATGATGATGATCCTTTGTTTGACCCATGCTTCATTTTATATAAAAGAAATGGTCATGGAAGTTTGAACGACTTCTGAATTTGATTTTTTTATTTAAATTTCTGAGTTCAGATTTTATCAAATTTGATATTTTTAATTTCAAAGTTTTTCATATGCATCTCCTTTTGTTTAGTAATATATAAGCATATTGATGAAATAATTACTAGATTAAGTTGAATGATACATTCTATATATATATTTATAAAAAATTGCTAATTTTATTAAAAATAGAAAATATCCAAATTATAGTGAAGGTTTACAGCAACAACATATAATGAATATATTTTCCTAAACACAAGAAAACTAACCACTTAAGATCACGTAAAGACCATACAAGGAAAAAGTTAAAAAACCTAACCAAATATACTCGAACAAAAGGTAGATATGAACAGATCTGACCGCATTGACAAACAAACTACAAAAGGGGATGGAACAATCGAAAGTCCACCAACAATCCACAACTTAGAAACGAGCAACGTGAAAATACTATCCACGAAAACAAATCGCGTATCCAAATCCAATCTGAGAGTCTAAAGCATGGAAGATCAACATGATAACAAATAAACGCCATCTTGATCTGTTGTGACGATGTCAAATCCAATTCTGAAAAAAAATAAACAAAAATAACGGTCAAACAACCGAAAGCGTGTCAAAAAGGCATAAAAAACGTGCCATAAAGACAGAAGAATATGTGTCATAAAGAAAGAATTATTAAAAATAAAAACAAGAAAAAAAAGATATGATGTATTAAAGTAAAGGAAAGTAATGAATACCGATATTCGACGACCATCATCAAGGTTGGTGTCGCTACCAATCACAAAAACGAAGAAAAAAAGAGACTAAAGATGAAAATTAGAGAAAACTCACGTACTAAATATTTTTAAAATTTAAACAATCATGGTAGTTTTATGAATTTAGTATATAATTCTATAAAGTTTAACAAACTATATATTCTAACTTTAAAGAATAAGCAGTTAAAACAACGCAACGAAACAACAAGAAATATTGAAAAGTTAAGTACTAAATTCATGCTCGAGATTTTACTTTTTTTCAAGCTAATGCTCAGGTTTTTTGGTGTAATTCATTTCGTCACCTCTCGAGTTGACGAAGACTAGGGCTCCGATACCATAAGCACCCAGGTATGAGTAAGTTATGTGTAAATTCTCTTCAATTTTGTTATAGTTTAAATTCTAATAAACATGAAGTTATAATTTATTAATTAGATTAAGCTGCATGGATTCGTGGGCAAATGATTATACATGCATGTTATTTTTGTTGTGTATATACGATATAATACTTTAACTATTCACAATTCTTTAAATCCTTAAATCAAATATGACTATGCTTAAAGATATTCAATCTCGCAACCTTTAAAGGTGTCAATCGAGTTAAGATATGTATTCCTATTTTAGAAAAATAAAGGCTTAAAATAAAAATTACCATGAATTTGATAATTACAGTCAAGTTATTCCTTGATCTTTTATCGATCAAATTGGCCCCTAGTTTAAATAGTTTGGTCAAACTTTATCTACCACCCCATATGTTTAACATGTCAAAATTTGAAACCCTCTTCCTCTACTGATAATGCACCACTTCATTTGTCCAAAGAAAAAACATAGATGTCGAAAGTGATATTTACCCTATATTAGATTTTAGGGAATTTTTATATATTAAAAAAAAAAACTAGACGTATATAAACCACTCCAACCCAAAGCCCAAACCTTCAAAATAGAAGAGGAAAACATAAATTGAAGCCCCCGGCGAGGATCGAACTCGCGACCTTTCGCTTACGAAGCGAACGCACTACCACTATGCTACGGAGGCAGTTGTTTTGCTCTCAATCCTGTACTCTTCTGACCTTTGAAACGTAAATGATAGCACAAATAATTGAATTTATTTTTGAAGTAAAAAGTTTGAAAATTAAAAAAAAAATATAATATTTCAATTCAACGAAGGTGTTTAAATTGTTAGAAAGAGAAAGTAAACTCTGTAGGGAAGGATGCATCAGCATCCAAGAAAGGCATACCTCAGCAGGCGGTGATTCAAAGACCATTAGCTCCTCATAGATACTACATGCCATCTTCAACACAAAGCACAAAACATAGACCATAATCATGGGGACACAATTAGCATATAACATTACTTCATATACAAATTACAAAAGGTTTTTCATGCAAATATGAATGCTGTCATAAGTATGATATAAAACACGACCGCCATAATTCTTATCCATGAATTATTATGCTTTCATGAAGAAGTATTACAAGGCATTTTGCAAATAGTTCACTCGGAAAGCGGCTGCCGCCTGCTTTGATTGGCTCGTAAAGCTACCTTCTTCGGGTTGATGGGATGTAGCTGAAATGTTGTCAAACCAGAACTGGCATCTTTCAGTCTTCTAAGTTTTTGGACCAAATGCTCCATGTTCTACAATTAATCGCAGTTTCTTGCGATTAATCGAACATCAAGAATTGTTCGGACTTGGATGTTGTGGAGCAATCATAGCGGGTTCTTCTATGATCCATCCTCAACAATTCTCGATGTTGATTTCTACATTGTAAAGTAATACAAGTAACCAAAAGAAGCAATTGAATGAATTGTAAAGACATAAAATGTCACCTTTGGCAACATACTGGAAATTCAACACTTCCAACCTTTCACAGAAATCATAAATAGGGATGGATTAAGGGAGGCGGCAGGGGACAGTGGTCCCCTGAAAATTTTAAATTATCATATATTTAATTATTTTTTTATATTTTCTATTGATAACATATTTTCGTCCCCTAGAATTTTAAATTTTTAGATTTCATCCTCTTAATAGAAGATCTTGTGTGATCAAAATAATTCCCCTTGAGAAAACCAACTATTTGTAACAATAGCATAACACACATTTGTCCATAGAAGAAGATAAGGAAGAGTGTTGAGATACAATGAGAGTGCTGGTGTTGTTCCCCGCAGACAATAATAGCCTAATAGGCGAGTGTTGAGGGTAAGATGATATCTTATCCATGCGGGACGGAGACAATACAATGGCCAAGGCACGTGATTAAGACATTAGACTATTAAATCGTTAACAACGTGATAACGTGATTGTTTCTTTCTAATTTTCCTTATTGAAAATGTTCAACTCCTTTAACTATCTTTGTCGATCAACGGCAACCCATCATCAACTATATCTACAGTAAAACATTTGCATTTTACATCTTTTTCCTTGTCAAATTTATTTTTCCACTAAATTCATTTAAATTCGACAAAAAATTATGAAAAGGTTCAACCGTCTAATTAGATTAATTTCTAGGTATGTTATTCATATTCTCAAAAGAATACTACTCACTATTCAAAATTTTAAACAAACATCTAAAATCCAAGAAAGCCTCAAACCTAAAAAGGGGATAGATTTTATGTTTAATTTCAAAATATTAAAGAGATTATGAGACGTATTCATCGATACTTAGGATGGTCGCAGAAGACGTCAAAAATGACAATTTTAGAAAGCAACTGAAAATAAGTGAAAAAAAATATTAATTTTGATGAAAATATAATAAGGTTGAATAAAAATAATAAATTTTTTTAACTTTCCCATCAATCTTAATTTATCAGATTATTCGATTGTTAAGGGTTTAACGACCCAATAATTAAAATATAAACAACTAAAGTTCAATATAAAAATTGTTGCGTTTTAAAGCTCAATGATAAAACTATACATAACCTAACATTTACCCTAATAATAACAAAAGGTGGTGAGTCACAGCAATTGATGCATAGAGAACACAGAGACTCCTTCAACTTCTTTTGTTTCTTTTGATTCTTTCTTTTTCTTCCCTTCAGATCAGATTCAGTGCCTCTGTTGTTTCCCAGTGCCACCTCCGAAGCCTTAGCTGTTAGTGTAGCATCATCTTTTGTGACAGCCAAGTTCAAGGGAGAGGGAATAACTTCATCTGTCTTGGTTTCAATCTCTTCATCATTGCACAAAGACTCCTTTCGTTTCTTTCTTTTTCTTTCTTTGAGATCAGATTTAGTGCTTGTGCTATTTCCCAATTCTTCCTCCGAAACCTGTACAGGCATAGCTTGCCCGTCCGGTACTCTAATGGACCCATTTTCCAAACCGGTTGTATGTTCCTTATCTAAATGGTCAACTGAAGTCTGTATATGTTCCAGATTAGAAGACTTTTTCCTTTTCTTGTGATGGGTTTTTGCCTTCTTCCCTATCTCAAAGGTTTCCCTATCTCCATCAACATGGGAATTTTGAGTTTCCCCCAATCCGGTACTTGCAGTTACAGGAGAATCACTTTCCATATCAGTTATCAAAGAAAGTTTCTTCATATATTGTGACTCTACGGCTTCTGATATAGACATATTGTTATTTCCAGCTTCATTACTGTCCTTGCCATTGCTCTTTGTGCTAATACCTTCATCCTCCACAATACCAAGTCTTTGTCTTCTTTCCTTTCCCCTTCTTCCTTTTCCTTTGCAATTGTTCATTCAACTGAACCCCTTCCAATCGAGACTCTAAACTAAAATTTTTGATTTTGGACTCCAAATGAGAATCACTTGCCTTCTTTTCATGTATAAAAGAATCACCTTCCTTATCATTCAACTCTAAAATAGATTCCCCATTCAAGCTGTCAAATTCCCCAAATATACCCCACCTTACTCTTCTTCTCCCTCTTTTGTTTCGTATCTGAACGTGCGGATTGTTCATTCAATTGACTCCCCTTCAATCGAGACCCTAAACTACAATTTCCCAGAACCCTAAACCAGAACTTTTCCCTTTCTTCTTCAACACAGACTCCAAACTAACACTCATTTTGGACTCCAAATGAGAATCACTTGCCTTCTTTTCATCTATCAAGGAATTTCCTTCCCCATCTTTCAACTCCAAAACAGATTTTGCATTCAAGTTCTCCAATTCCCCAGATTTGACCGTCTTATTCTTCTTCCTACTCTTTTGCTTCTTTTTTGAAAGAGTCGGCTGTTCATTCAAAAAGACACACCGGGGTCCGTACACTTGAATCTCTTTCCGAAAGTGTATCTCTGCAATGGGGGTTTATTTTCCTTCTAACCCTAAACCCTAATCCTCTAATAAAAAATAATAATATGTTGAAGTATGTTCGACTTCTTGTTAGTCGGTTTAGTCGATTATTTGGGTCAATTTTCAACTTTTAAAATTGTGACCCGAATCAACCAATAAAACTGACATATAAATAATTTTAAATACATATTATGTAATTAAATTACCCAAACACAAAACCCAATTAGTTTGGGATATATAGTGAGGAGCTATGAGGACTGAAATTCATTTTTTGAAGAATGTGATGTAATGCCTGGTCTCAATTCATCAATGGGAAACCGATAGTAAGCCCCTTGTGAGGATCAAATAATTCCAGACACGATGTAATACAATCCAACAAAAATGAAATATAAAAATAATAAATGGAAACAAAAGGGCAGAACACCACCCTCAAAATGCTTCATGGATCTGGAATCTTTGCTCTTCCCCGGAGACTTTATCTTGTCAATCTCCTCATCACTATTAGCCATGTTAACTTCAACCGGATTAATTCGGCGTCCATTCTCAATGGCACATTCCTCATTGCCTGCAGATGCCACAGAAGCAGCTGCTGCAGCATCTTTCCTCTGGTTGTTTTCTGCTATATTCAGTGGAATGTTGGAACCACAGCCCCAATAAAATGTCAGCAACTTGTTATTTCCAACATCTGAATACATATTTTTTTCTCGACAAACTTGAAGATGGCTCAATACTATCAAAAAGCGGATCATATTGGTCACCACCTGTTCTACCCTGGAAGAATTGGGTGACAAGGTTGCTTGTTGAGATCCTATACCTCTCCCATGAACTGGATGATGAGCCAAGCTGAAAGGAGTCTTATTGTAGGCTATATATTTTTCTTGCTGGAGAATATCAGAAATGTGTTTGGTATTCGATGGCTGAACAAGAGTAGATGCATTTGGATTATAAATTGAACTACTCGATCCACCAATGTCAAGCCGGTGGGATGATGTGCCCCCAATATTTGGTGGAACTTTCATAGAAGAATTCATCTTTCCACCAAGATTATAAATACCATCAATCATAGGGTGATGTGAACTGTGTGGTGGTTGCTGCTGTACATAGGGATAAGTATATGAAGATGAGTAAGAAATCCACCTGGCATCGAACTCTCAGAGGGGAATGTTCGCATTTTGTTTCTCAGCAACTGTTGTGTACAGGGCAGAGTATGAGGATGAGTGTTGCCCTGGGAAAAGGAATTTAAAGCAATACTGTTCCGCATTGGAGATTTTGTTAAGCCATCATCTCTTGACATACTAGGAGCTCCAGGTAGGTTACAAACAGGCAAAGAAGCCTGCAAGATAGGTTGATTAACATCCTGAATTGGAGGATAGGCTCGCTGTTGAAACCCATCAGCTTGAGATAAGATAAGGTCTAGGGATAATCTGGGAACCAAAATCATTCCTTAGAGGAAAGTAACTCCGCCGAAAAAGTGAAATGGTGGGAGTTACAGTTAAATCCAGTAATTGTGGTGGAGATGGAGATGGAGGTAAGTTAAAGAAGAATTTGGCTGTAAGCAAAGTAAGACTCTTGGCTAGGTAACAAGTAAGATGGAAAGATTTCCCCAGAAGATTGAAACATAAAAGATGAAGTTTGTTGCTCTTTCGTTTGTGGGTTATCTTTAACAAGTGAGCATAGGACGGAAGGAGAGGATATATGGAAAGGATGGTTATGGAGCTCCATTGCATGTGGATGAATATTACTCTCTGGAAGCCTATTTATTGGGGATGTAAATGATTTACATGGTCAAGAATCAGACATGGTTATCTGATTGTTGAGGTTGGCAAATAGCATTTTGACACACTGGATCTAAAGGATTGGAGAGAGAAATAAATACTTCCTGAGAAGCATTACCACATGGCTTCAGTGTATCCATATTGCCAACTGATGAGCTATCAAATAGTTGACAGGTATTGAGATTCTGCAGCTGCTTTTTGACAATTCTCATAACTGACAGGATTAGGCGTTTCCTGCTTGTTTTCTAACTACTGTGTTTCAAATAAAGAGGCCGGGATGTCTCTAGATCTATCAGACTTAACCATGTGATACTCATTTGATTGATTATCTTGAAAATAAGCACCTACATTGCCAACTGATGCGCTATCAATACTTGACAGGTATTGAGATTCTGCAGCTGCTTCTTGACAATTCTCATAACTGACAGGATTAGGCATTTCCTGCTTGTTTTCTAACAAGTGTGTTTCAAATAAAGAGGCCGGGATGTCTCCAGATCTATCAGACTTAACCATGTGATACTCATTTGATTGATTTTCTTGAAAATGAGCACATACATCACCAGAATCTTCTCTTTTCTCCGAACTCTGCCTGATCTCTTCACAAGCATTATTAGTCCTAGGAACATGAGGCAACTCCATACACTGTTGTTCACTCCTTTTCCACCTAGATTCATAACTCTTCCCAGAATCATGGTGCAGATAGCGACAAAACACTCCACAGTAACACCTGCCTCAACGGAAGTGAAAACAGAATGGCATCTGTCCCTTCACCCGTCTCTTATTATCACCACTGGATTCATCTGTACACTTAAAACTGGGAGATCTGCTCCTGCTTATCCGACAATTCTCATAACTGAAAGGATTATGCTTTTCCTGCTTGTTTTCTAACATGTGTGTTTCAAATAAAGAGGTTGGGATGTCTCTAGATCTATCAGACTTAACCATGTGATACTCATTTGATTGATTATTTTGAACATGAGCACCTACATCACAAGAATCTTCTCTTTTCTCAGAGCTCTGCTTGATCTCTTCACGAGCATTATTAGTCCTCCTAGAAGCATTAGGTAACTCCAGATACTGCTGTTTGCTCCTTTCCCACCTTGATTCATAACTCCTGCCAGAATCATGGTGCAGATAACGACAAGACCCTCCACGGTAACACCTGCCTCGACGGAAGTCAAAACAGAATGGAATCTGTCCCTTCACCCGTCTCTTATTTTCACCACTGAATTCATCTGTATTGTTAAAACTGGGAACCTGCTCCTGCTTCTCCAGTTTCTAGAAGACGTGTTCCTGCTTCTCCGACTTCTGGGAGACCTGCTCCTGCTTCTCCGGTTTCTGGGAGACCTGCTCCTGCTTCTCCGGTTTCTGGAGACCTGTTCCTGCTTCTCCGGTTTCTGGGAGACCTGCTCCTGCTTCTCCTGTTTCTGGGAGACCTGCTCCTGCTTCTCTGATTTCTGGGAGATCTGCTGCTGCTTCTGCAATTACTGGGAGATCTACTCCTGCTTCTCCAGTTTATGGGAGATCTGCTCCTGCTTCTTCGGTTTCTCGGACACCAGCTCCTGCTTCTCAGGTTTCTCGGAGACCTACTCCTGCTCCCATTTCTGGGAGACCTGCTCCTGATTCTCCGATTTCTTGGAGATCTGCTCCTGCTCCAATTTTATGGAGACCTGCTCCTGCTTCTCCGGTTTCTGGGAGACCAACTAAAAAAAAAAGAAATTTAAAATTTTCCACAGGTCATAAACAAGAATTGCAAGGTAAGGAATACGACGTTCTTAAGAAGTCAAATGTTTTAAAGATCAATTAAAAAAAAAGATAAAACTCCAAACCACAAACAAACAACCTGCAAAAAGATTTATCACATCACACATTACATCAAATTTTAAATTTAATATACTTATAAAAGATTTATTGAGAAAAGGATCAACTTATTTATTTATTTTCATGCTTGCTTGTCAATATAGTCAAAGCAACATAGTTCTCTATTTTAATTCTTCAAAAAATATGTACGTGAATAGAGAGTTATCTATAGAAGGAATGCCATCTCAAAGAGAAAGCAGGCCCATGAAAGGCCAATTAAGATTCTATGATCATCAGCAATTACCATATGAATATGAGCCAAATTTTTCTGCTAACAACGGAACACAAACTCTAAATGCAGCTCAGGTAATATAACTTTCAAAAGATGCTATTTCGTGACTTAAATGTAAAGAAGCGGAACGGGAAATTACCAAGCTTCCAATGTCTCATCATCTATAATTTGGGAATAGAAATCCCAATGTGGATCTGCCTCTGTGATAGCTGATTGTCCGAATGGATTTTGCCCAATGAATTTCTGGACATTCTCTGCTTCAGCTAACCGTTCAAGATATATTCGAAGATCTCCTCCAGGTTGTGTTGCAAACATTATTTAACAATGAAGATTATGATAAAATGCGCACATAACGAATAATACAATGGGGAGCTATTAGGTACAGATGACCGTCAATGCAAACTCAAATGGTAGATCTGTAACATGAACCAATATTATTTACATAGGTAATTCTTATCAAAAAAATTATTTACATAGGTAATGAATGGTAACTGGTTGAGCAATTACACTGCTCCATATGAACACAGCTTTAAAACACGGTTCCCTAACAGGAAAAAAGGTATTTTGATCCAACAAGTTCATGGTTTCAATAGAGGTAAGAGTAGGATCTACCGAACCTATTTTAAAAAGATCCACTATTACCTTTTCTATACTGTGAAAGGGCCAAAAAGATAAGCTCAAAAAATGTCCCTGTGAAGGCTTAGATACTATATCGCGGTCAAAACTGTTTGTGTACCTTAAATTCCCTAAAGCATGCAAGTTCACATCTCACCTAATGAACAATCTGCAGCATCTGTGTATTGATAAGGATATGGAAATATAGCAATATTTGCCTACCAATGAAAAAATTGAAGTTAGCATTAGAGCATCATTTGAGTTTCAACAGTCTGAAGTGTTATATAAGCGATAAGCAAACAGAGAAAACAGTTAAAAACTCACAGGATTTCGCAAAGCTTTATACGGGGAATCATCCAACAAAAGTGTGTTTGATTCATCATACTCTACCTTCTTCCATGGAATGTTAGGTAGTTGCTTATTCCATAATTTTCTAAGTTCCTTCAAAACAAGGGGTTTGTCCACATTCTCGAGGGTTTTGAGTTTGTCACAGTTGGAAGAGATGAGCGTGGAAACGAAGAGGAAAATGGTGAATTAGGGATTGAGATGCGAAGGAGAAATGAGAAAGGGGAATTAGGGATTGAGGTGCGAGAGGGAAAAGTAAATGGGGAATTAGGGATTCTGGCAATTGAGGGGCGAATGATATTACCTGATGAAGTGGAGCAGCACGTGACCGGTTCAGGAGATGATGAAGCAGACCGAAATATGATCCAAGAGGAGTTAATAGCCCAATCAGTCCAAATGGAGGAGTAGCCTACGTGTTCAGTCCAGTATTCTGCAAGAAGAGAATATATTAGTTGTTAGAATCTGTTAAAAGGACAGCCAACTGGCATCCTTGCAAATGACTGTTTTAGCCCTGTAACTAAATAATATAGGTTGTAATATGGATTGAATTCCTTATGAAATGAATGAAGAGAATTTCTTTCTGTAATCTCTCCTTTCCTACTTCTTAAATCCTTTCTTCTTCGATTTTTCTTATCTAATATCTCCAATCTATCACAAATTGGTATCGAGAGCCTCGGTCTCTGGCAAGTTGGTGGCATGCCGAAGAAGAATCAGAACATGGCAGAAGACTTAGCTGGGTTGCAGAAACAGATGGAAGAATTGACAACACTGGTGAAACAAGGAAAAGATGAGTCTAATCCTCCTAAATGGTGGGAGAATCAGGACAACAGGATTTCTACATTGGAGTCTAGGATGGCTACCAACCAAGGATATGTGGAGGAAATCTTGAAGATCTTAACTGGCAGAAATAGGGAATGAGAGCAGTTTGCAGATGATCAGGTAAACACTCCTAATAACTCTAAAAATAGGGAGAAAAATCCTATTTTGGTGACTGTAGTGAAGGATAAATCAAGATTCACTTATAAAACTGATGAACCGGGAATATTGAAAGAGAAGCCGGATGCTTGTTTAGCCCTTAAGAATAGTAGTAGGCCTGAGAATCAAATGGGTGAAAACAATAACAATAGACCTATTATGATTGGACTGGAAGCAGAAAATAAAGGACCAAGGGGTTCTTTTATCAGTTCTGGGGCGATGTGGCATAGACCTAAAATTGATTTACCATTCTTTGATGGAATCAATCCTAAAGGGTGGCTTCAAAAATGTCTCAAATATTTTTCTTTGTGTAATGTTCCTACAGAACAGAGAGTAGAGGTAGCCACTATGTACTTGACTGGGAAAGCAGAGGTTTGGTTTGATGGATATATTATGCAGAAACACCATGTAACATGGCATGAATTTAAAGCAGATCTTTGTCATAGATTTAGTGACAAGTCTTTTTCTGATATAGTATAAGAATTTACTAAGTTAACTCAGAAAGGGACTGTTGAGGCTTATCAGGAAAAATTTGAAGAGCTGCAACCTTATATGTTACTACAAAATCCTACATTAAATGAGGATTTCTTTGTGTCACTTTTTATCAGTGGATTAAGGGAGGATATTAAACATAGGGTGAAGGCTTTAGACCCTAAAAATTTGCCTGAAGCATACAAACAATCCAAACTTTATGAATTATTTGTTGATTATGAAAACAGAAGATGGAGGCCCTCTTTTAAAAACCCACCCTACCCAAGCCCCATTGTTATTTCTAAATCAGCTTCACTGCCAGCAATTACCAAGAACACATCAGTTTCTAATCCTAAACAGAATCTTCTGGATTATAGAAGACAAAACAATCTTTGCTTCAAGTGTGGGGAGAAGTTTCTTCCAGGGCATCAATGTAAGTCAAGGAATCTAAATCTGATGATTGAAGACTTCAAGAGTCTGTTGTTCCTACAGAGAATGTTACTATGGAATCAGATCAACAATTGATGCAAGAAGAAGAGGCTCTAGAAATCTCTATGAATGCTATTACTGGCTGCATTAGCCATAATACATTAAGGATTCAAGGAGCCATTCAAGGAAAACCACTTAGTATTTTGATTGAAAGTGGGAGTACTCATAGTTTTTTTGACTCCACAGTGTGCTAATGCTGGTATACATGTACTTACACCATATCCTTTGGCAATCACAGTAGCCAATGGATAGCAACTTTATAGTTCAGCTAGATGTAATCAGGTGGAATGGCAGATGCAAGGACACTCTTTTGTTCATAATTTCAAACTCCTGAAGTTAGATGGCAGTGATATGGTGTTGGGGGTGGATTGGATGAAATTATTTAGTCCTATTTTGATGGATTTTAATCAAATGACACTCAGCTTTCAACATCAAGGGGAGAATATTATTATACAAGGACAACAACCATCTAATTCTTTGCAACAAATATCTGGAGCTACATTATTGAAAATGACAGCATCAGATTCTCCTATTTTGGGACATGTGATTCTGTTAACTATGACTGAAGATTCAAAACCTGTTCCAGCAGCTCTTCAACCTCTTTTACAGAAATATCAATCTATTTTTGATGAGCCTACTAGTTTACCCCCTACAAGAACTCATGACCATGCTATTCCTCTAAAGCCTGAATTTACTCCTATCAACTTGAGGCCTTACAGATTTCCACACAATCAGAAAGAGGAAGTAGAAAAACAGATTTCTAGTATGCTTTCAACCTCTATTATTCAGCCTAGTAGGAGTCCATTTGCTTCTCCATGCCTTCTTATCAAAAAGAAGGATGGTACTTGGAGATTTTGTGTGGATTACAGGAAATTAAATAGTATGACTGTGAAAGATAAATTTCCTATACCTGTGGTTGAAAACCTATTAGATGAATTACATGGAGCAGTTTCTTTTTCCAAGATTGATCTCAGATCTGGATATTGGCAAATAAGGATTAAATCTGACATATATAAGACAGCATTCAGAACTCATCAGGGTCATTATGAATTTAAGGTGATGCCTTTTGGGCTTACTAATGCCCCTGCTACATTTCAAGCTTTAATGAATGAATTGTTTAGTTCATTTCTTAGAAAATTTGTCTTGGTATTTTTTGATGATATCTTCGTCTATATTACTTCTATGACTGATCATGTGACTCATTTACAACTGGTTTTAGAAGTATTGCTTCAGAATCAATTATTTGTCAAGTTGTCCAAATGCTTCTTTGGACAGACTCAAGTTGAATACTTGGGCCATATTATTTCAGCTACTGGAGTTTCTACTGATCCTAAGAAAGTAGAAGATATGAGGAATTGGCCAATGCCTAAGTCATTAAAGTCTTTGCGTGGATTTTTGGGATTAACAGGCTATTACAGAAGATTTATTAAGAATTATGGGTCAATTAGCAAACCTCTGACTCAGCTACTTAAGAAAGACAGTTTTAAGTGGACTGATGCAGCTTTGACTGCTTTTGAAGAATTGAAGAGGGTTATGTGTGTTGCTCCTGTTTTAACCTTACCAGATTTTGGTAAGAGCTTTTATTTAGAAACAGATGCCAATTCAGGTGGTATTGGTGCAGTTTTATCTCAAGAGGGCAGACCTATTGCCTATTTAAGTAAGGCTCTGAGTCCTAAACATACAGCACTTTCTATTTATGAAAGAGAGTATCTTCTAGCAGTTTCCAAGTGGAGGCATTATTTAGAGAGTAAATCTTTTGTGATTAAAACAGATCATGAACCATTGAAATATTTATTAGAACAGAAATTGACTACTACTATTCAAAAGAAAGTCTTGACCAAGTTATTAGGGCTGGATTACACAATTCAGTACAGGAAAGGCAAATCAAATGTAGTTGTTGATGCCTTATCTAGACAATGGGAAGATCATGCTGACTGTTTTACCATGAAACACTACTCTAATCATTCCTAGTTGGGTTCATGAAGTGGAAGGAAGTTATAAAGATGATTCTATATCTAAGCAATGGATTTCTGTATTATCTGTTAATCCTAATGTTGATTTCCAGTGGAAGTATTCAGGAGGTATCCTTAGATTTAAGGATAGAGTATATATTGGGGTTGCTGGGTCTCTTAGACTACAGATACTTCAGACACTACATGATTCCCCTTATGGTGGCCATTCTGGCAGTCAGGCTACCTATCAAAGGATTAGGTCTTATTTCTATTGGCCTAAATTGAAAGCTATGGTAGCTACTTATGTAAGAGCATGTGCAGTTTGTCAACAGACTAAGGTGGAGCATGTGCCTAAACCAGGGTTGTTACAACCTCTACCTATTCCTCAACAGGCTTGGGAAGTAATTACTATGAACTTTATTGAGGGTTTGCCTACATCTTTGAGAAAGAATTGTATTCTTGTGGTGGTTGGCAAGTTTACTAAATATAGCCATTTTTTGGCATTAGCACACCCTTACACTGCTGCAGAGGTGGCCAAATTATACCTAGATTATGTCTACAAGTTGCATGGCTAGCCTAAAATGGCCATTTCAGACAGGGATAAGACTTTCACTAGCCTCTTTTGGAGAGAGCTAATGAAACAACTGGGCACTAAGACCCTATTTAGCACTGCTTACCATCCTGAAACTGATGGAAAGTCAAAAAGAGTAAACCAGTGCTTAGAACAATATCTTAGGGGTCTCTGTTTTTTTCCAACCCAAGCAATGGGCAAAGTGGTTGTCTCATGCTGAATGGTGGTATAATACTACCTACCATACTGCTCTTAAGTTAACACCTTTTGAAGTCCTACATGGCTACAAGCCTCCTACTATGGTATGGCATACAAACAGTCCAGTGCAGAGCATATCAGAATTAATGCAGAATAGAGAAGAGATCAGGTAACTAGTCAAGTCTCAGTTAGAACAAGCAAGTAATTGAATGAAGCAAAAAGCAGATAAACACAGATCAGAGAGAATTTTTCAGGTGGGTGATTTGGTTTACCTGAAATTGCATCCTTATAGACAGACCTCTCTTGCCCTGCGAAAAAATTTAAAATTAGCAGCACGATTTTATGGCCCTTACAAGATCATTGAACGAATTGGAGAGTTTGCTTATAAACTGGACTTACCTGAGACCTCACGTCTATATCTGGTTTTTCATGTTAGTTTATTGAAGAAACATATTGGAGCAGCCGTATCATCTTCAACAGATCCTCCTGTAGTGGACGAAGAAGGTCAGTTCAAGATTGAACCAAGTCAAATTCTGGGTAGAAGAATAGTTAAACAACAGAACAAACCAATAACTCAGTTACTGGTTCGTTGGACTAACCTGGATGCTATGAACGACACATGGGAGGATTATTCTGTGCTTCGAGGCTAATTTCCGAATTTTGATCCTTGGGGACAATGATCTTCTCCAGCGGCGGATATTGTCACAGTTGGAAGAGATGAGCGTGGAAACGAAGAGGAAAATGGTGAATTAGGGATTGAGATGCGAAGGAAAAATGAGAAAGGGGAATTAGGGATTGAGGTGCGAGAGGGAAAAGTAAATGGGAAAATTAGGGATTCTGGCAATTAAGGGGCGAATGATATTACCTGATGAAGTGGAGCAGCACGTGACCGATTCAGGAGATGATGAAGCAGACCGGAATATGATCCAAGAGGACTTAATAGCCCAATCAGTCCAAATGGAGAAGGAGTAGCCCACGTGTTCAGTCCAGTATTCTGCAAGAAGATAATATATTAGTTGTTAGAATCTGTTAAAAGGACAGCCAGCTAGCATCCTTGCAAATGACTGTTTTAGCCCTGTAACTAAATAATATAGGCTGTAATATGGATTGAATTCCTTATGAAATGAATGAAGAGAATTTCTTTATGTAATCTCTCCTTTCCTACTTAAATCCTTTCTTCTTCGATTTTTCTTATCTAATATCTCCAATCTATCACAGAGTTTTGTCATTGTACACAGATTTCGGCCCTGCATTCAACCCACATCTTGAGACGAATAAATCATACACAACACTTAACCCATTGGTGTACTTACAAAAGAGAGAAATAGCTTTCAATTGATCAAACCTCTACCAAAGATGATAAAGGTTACGAGAATATAGATATCACATAGGATAGGCTATAAGGTACATTTGTCAGGCAAAACCTTTAATGGCAAGGAAGATGAAATTTCTTTAAGCATATCCTTGTATAACAGCAGACATCGGATTTCAAGTCGTCAGCGGGCTTTGGTCTACCCTAAAGTCAAACCTTTAAGCTTTTTCTAGCAATATGCATTTTATATATATATTTCTCAACATAAAAGCTACAAAAGCTATATAACATATTATTGGAGCTAAAAACAAGAACAATAGCATACCATGTGAAATTCCAAAGAGTACAATCTAACAGTTTCATGACTAATTTGCCTAGAACATGACTTTCAATTACTATGTAATTGCAGTAACAAAGCAGCCATCTAGGGTAAACCTTGAGGAATTAACAGTAGAAAGATCAGCTTTAGGTTGGATGGTAAGAAAAGATATTGAAAAGTTGAAAGAATTCCAATGAGAAAGTCACTAGTATCAGGCAACCCCATAAGCAGTTGTTGATAGAATAACAATGCCTACTAAAAGGTTGGTCATCACATAGTAATATTACAAAAAACTTCATACTTTTTTACCCCACAGGAGTTTTGCAAATCTGGCTTCCATTACCCCCTCCCCCCAGTCAAATCCAAATTTGATGAAACATAGATTTGTTTTAGAACAAGCCAACAAAAACAGATTTTATTATTTTAAAACACAATATGGAAAGGTAACCAAGCTAGATTACTTAAATCTTGGGCGTTCATACTTTTCATTCAATTGGCTAGATTGGATGGGTTTAGAGCTATTGGGTATTACTTTATGTGTTTTAGTATATTATTTTATGTTTACAAAATATAGATGTATTAGTATTTAAGAAGATATACGAGTACAGAGAATTCTAATTAGAATAACATTCAACTTGTATATTCTACATTTCAGTATCAGTAAGTAATCTATATCAAACAACAAACTAATTCTTACCAGTTACAAAATATCAACAGAACGAAAATTACCAAAAGATAAAACCACCTTACTTGATTAACAAATCATGCAAGTGTAGTTCATTGATTGAAGGCCATATAGACTAAAAAGACAAGGAAATGATATGATCCCTAATTAGCTAATCAAAACTTTGGCAATTACCCCATTTATTAGCAATAGTTGAATAAGACAGGGAATGTTGCTTACATAACAGAAAACCAGTTCACCTCTCTGTTTTTTTTCATAAGAAGATCAAGCACTCCCATCACATTTTACTGCAACAACAATTAATAGCAACATGGTCAAGGCATAATGTCATTCATGACGGAATGCTGCATTCTATGGTGCACTTATCTAACTTAGCAATGCTCAAAGAAAAACAGTTAACCATAGAAGACAATTATCAAGCAAAGGCAGGAGCATACTGAACTCTTGATGACCAGATTCCGACGTTAAATGTCCTAAAGCAAAAGTCGAGAAATTCGTCACAGAAAAGTCTCCTGAAAACTGGTAAAAAGAATGGACCGTGGTTAAAGTTAGGTTAATGGAAGGCAAACAGAAATTTCAGATCTATTTTAATTACCGTAAATTACCTCCTTTCCCATTTACTATGGCATGTGGCTCGAGTTTACATGGTATTTGAACAACATCTACAAGAATTCCATTCAAATCAAGAACAAGAAGCTTTTTCTTGGGACGCCTTATACAATTTCGTTGAAATGAAGTGTGCAACGTTAGTGAGAAATTGTTCTCTTTAACATTAGCTCTTGGAGTAGCATCATCTGTAGCGACAGCCAAGTTCGAAGGAGATACATTAGCTGTTGGTGTACCATCATCTTTTGCAACAGCTGTGCTGTTGCCCAATGCTACCTCTGAAACCTGTACAGGAGCTTGCCCGACCGGTACTCCAATGGACCCATTTTCAGAACCCGTTGTATGTTCCTTATCTAAATTGTCAACTAAAAGAGCCGATTGTTCATTCAATGGACTCTTCGGGGTCCGTACACTTGATCTCTTTCCGAACGTGTATCCTTCATTAATGAGATGGCTTCTGATTCAACGAGAGAATCGCTTTGCTTTTCATCAACAGAGGAAATGTCATTCCTCTTTTCCTTCCAACGCGAATCACTCGACTGATCGGTTCCTAAACCAACGTCTTCACTTAACGAGTCTGTTTCTAAACAAGTTTCTTTCTCAGCATTCCCGCTCTCGATATCCGGTTCCATCCTCTGTTTCTTCAGCTTCTTCTCAAAACGACTCGATTTAACATCGGAAATCGATGGGTGTGTAACATTTTTCACGTCTGACACGTGTTTCCTCGTTCGAAGGTTGCTCCTGCTTTAATTCAACAAACACCAACAAATATAAGATAAGATAATCAAAGGATTTTTTTTCAAAAAGTAGAAAAAGGGGGAGATGTTTTGAAGAAGAATCTCAAAATGTTTAGCAGCCGTTACTGCGATGGAGGGTTTCCTAACACTGGCCCACGCCGGATTTGTAAAAGAAAAAAAGAGACTAAAGTACTTCAACTGTCACTTATCTACACTTAAATGTTATAAAATAATCGTTAAATTTATCAAAATATTTTAATTATTATAACATCCTAATGATCATTTTATAGCAATTTGATAAATTTTATAATATTTAATAAAATTAGTAACCAAAATAATTATTTAAATATAATTTAATGATATATGATGTATTTTATTTAAAGAAAAATTAATTAATTATTTTAAAAATTTTATATAAAATTTAAGGTTATCATTTGATATATAAAGAGATTTATTTCATACCAGTCAAACAAAATTTTATTAACATAGCACCTTTAGCTTTATGTAAGCTCAAAATTTTAACAATCCATCATGAGAGCCGTTTTATTCAAAGCTGGTGAGAATTATTTTTTTGTTTAATTGCAAGTGGTATTGTAAATTTCATCATCTATTTTGATGATGTTGATTATCTCTTGATTTTAGTCACAATGTTCATCAATGTCTATTCACACACCGGTTTAAATTTCTCCCCCTCAAATTTCAAGTTATGTATAGTTGAAAAATCAGTGTAAATATTTATAATATATCAATACTTATTTAAAGTGTATAAATTATATTTTTTTTTAAAAACTTATCAATTTGTATAAAATAATTTGTATAACATCATTTAAACACTGAATGATTTACCAAAAATTACTTTTCCTTTTGCACAAAAGAAAATTAGTTACATATACACATGACAAATCAAATGCAAAGGATTGGAGATATGCAGAGGAAGTACCGGTAAGTAGCAATTTCACTATTTTCTTAGTTTGAAAGACAAGATATTAATCATATTCATGTGAACATTACATTTCTATGTTACTCCGACTCTTCATTTTTTTTATGCACCCGTGTGAGATGCATATTCATATACCCATACGTAACACTCACATCCGACTTTCGAGCCAATTTTCATAACGTTAACTCCTCCCTTATCCTAACATTACAAACTATACAAATCGAGTTTTTACCACCAACTCGAAAATTTCTCAACTTTTCCCCACAACCCACTGCTACAAAATTGAATTACTAACTTGCAAAAGCTTCAATGGCACAGGAACATAGTCCTCAACTTCCAGGTACAACAGAAAGAAAAAACTTACCTGTTCTAATAGGAATCAACATGGATGCCATCTTACACTTCAACAAAAGAAAAACTCAACCGTTGATAAAAGTGTTAGGGATCGGCATCGATGCCATCTCAGACGTTAACATACTTGTCAACATAACCCTGCAAAACATGAACAGGAAATAATGTTACCAAATTGAAATTTAAATTATCATCACCAACAAAAATGTAAGGCAGACTCCAAATCAATCTTTCAACCAATAGATTAAGCTTTATGGAACTTCACGAAAGAAAAGCAAAAGCTTAGTTCATTGAACTGATAACTGTCCAATAAACCGTAGATAAAATTTGGCCGAACCCAATACACAGATCCTGCTCAGACAGAACCAGCTGGGGAAAAGGGGATTGGTTCATTGGGCTTCTGACTTTTCCTTTCATATTATTTACTGTTCAAAAGAAGCGAATATTTTAGGGGGTTTGAATGCTAAAAACAGCTGCATAGCTTATTGTAAGGCATGGTATCCAATCCTAATGGCAATCTTTTCACTTTAGAATTATGCCACATCCAAAGATGGCATGTGAGAAGTCATTATCAAGACTGAAGTCTGATGGAAAGGATCGGTGATCACTAAAGGGTGTAGTTTTCATAAAACATTACTACGTGCTCTCTATTGCAAAATACTTATTCCATAATGAAACAAAAATGAAACATACCAAAATGATGAAACAAAATGGCAGAATAACATCCTCTAAATTGACATCACTGCTACGTTAATAGCTAATTACTGCAAGGAAGGGGAAAAAAGAACTTACCGTAACAAGTTTCGTCAATTTCTGCTGAGATAACTCAATGTAACGATCAATCTTTGCACTAGATTTGGGAATATGGTGGCTCTTCATAGCTCCTGATACTTTATCAACGGTCTTCTTCACAATAGTCTTAAATGCCTCCTTGCTCATATTACCTTGTTGCCATGATGGTTTTAAAAGCTCCTTCACAAAATGTGCAAGAGCAACCTTGAAATGCTTCATTGATTTGGAATCTTTGCTCTTCCCTGGAGACTTTATCTGGTCAATCTCAACCTCACTAGTAGCCATGATAACCTCATCAGGATTACTCGGGCTTCCACTCTCAACGGCACTAACTTTACCATCAGCAGTCTCACCAAATTCCTTATTGCCTGAAGAATCCACAGAAGCAGCAGCTGCAGCATCTTTCCTCTGGCTTTCCCCCATATTCAATGGTTCGTTGGACCCACTAAGCCCCAATAAAATATCAGAGTCACCTGTTACTTCCAACTTTTGAATACAATTATTTTTTCCCGACAAACTTGAAGATGGCTCAATGCTATCAAAAAGTGGATCATATTGGTCACCATCTGTTCTAAGAAAATTTTGCCCAAAGTTCCTGGAAGAATTGGGTGACAAGGTCGTTTGTTGGGATCCAATACCTCTCCCACGAACTGGATGATGAGCCAAACTGAAAGGAATCCTATTGTAGGCTACATCTTTTTCTTGCCAGAGAATACCAGAACTGTGTTTGATATTCAATGGCTGAACAAGAGTAGATACATTTGGATTATGAATTGAACTACTAGATCCTCCAATGTCAACTCGGTGGGATGATGTGTCCCCAATATTTGGTGGAACTGTCATCGAAGAATTCGTCTTTCCACCAAGATTATAAATACTATCAATCATAGGGTGGTCTGAACTGTGTGGTGGTTGCTGCTGAGCGTAGGGATAAATATATGAAGATGAGTAAGAAAGTCCACCTGGCGGCAAACTCTCAGAGGGAAATGGTTGCATTTTGCTTCCCATCAACTGTTGTGAACAGGGCAGAGTATAAGGATGAGTGTTGCCCTGGGAAAAGGAATTTGAAGCAATAATGTTCCGCATTGGAGTTTGTGTTGAGCCATCATCTCTCAACATACTAGGAGCTCCAGGCAGGTTACAAATAGGCAAAGAAGCCTGCAAGATAGGTTGATTAACATCCTGAATTGGAGGATAGGCTCGCTGTTGAAGCCCATCAGCTTGAGAACATGCATGCAATTCAGTAAGGTAAGGTCTAGGAATAATCTGGGAACCAAAATCATTCCTCAGAGGAAAGTAACTCTGCCGAAAATGTGAATGTACACTGGGTGTTACAGTTGAGTCCAGTGGTGGTGGCAGAGGTGGAACTGAAGCTGGAGGTAAGGAAATTAAAGGTGGAGCAAAGTAAGACTCTTGGATAGGTAACATGTTAGAAGGAAAGCTTTCCCCAGACGATTGGAACATAGAAGATGAAATTTGCTGCTCTTTCATATGTGGATTATCTTTACCATGTGAGCATAAGACGGAAGGGGAGGATATATGGCAAGGATGGTTACGGAGCTCCATTGCATGTGGATGAATATTACTCTCTGGCAGCCTATTTAATGGAGATGTTGATGGTTTACATGGTAAAGAATCAGACATGGTTGAGTTATCTGATTGTTGAGGTTGGCAACTTGCATTTTGACACACTGGTTCTAAAGGACTGGAGAAAGAAGTAAGTACTTCCCGAGAAGCATTACCGCATGACTCCAGTGAGCCCATATTGCCAACTGATGAGCTATCAATAGTTGACAGGTGTTGAGATTCTGCAGCTGCTTCTTGACAATTCTCATAACTGACAGGATTACGCGTTTCCTGCTTGTTTTCTAACAGGTGTGTTTCAAATGAAGAGGCCGGGATGTCTCTAGATCTATCGGATTTAACCATATGATACTCATTGGATTCATCACCAGAATCTTCTCTTTTCTCAGAGCTCTGCTTGATCTCTTCACGAGCATTATTAGTCCTAGAAGCATGAGGCAACTCCAGAAGCTGTAGTTTGCTCCTTTGCCACCTTGATTCATAACTCTTGCCAGAATCATGGTGCAGATAACGACAAGACACTCCACGGTAGCACTTGCCTCTAAGGAAGTCAAAACAGAATGGCATCTGTCCCTTCACCCGTCTCTTATTTTCACCCCTGAATTCTTTAGTATGCTTAAAACTGGGAGATCTGCTCCTGCTTCTCCGATTTCTGGGAGATCTGCTCCTGCTCCTCCGATTTCTGGGAGACCTGCTCCTGCATCTCCGATTTCTGGGAGACCTGCTCCTGCATCTCCGATTTCTGGGAGACCTGCTCCTGCTTCTCCGATTTCTGGGAGACTTGCTCCTGCTTCTCCGATTTCTGGGAGACCAACTAAAACGAGAAGAAAGAAACTTAAAATTTTCCAAAGATCATAAACAAGAATTGCAACATAAGGAATACAACATTCTTAAGAAATCAAATTTCTTATAAGATCAATTAAAAATAAGACAAGCTCCAAACCAAAAACCAACAAACAAACAACCTGCGTGATAGACTGTGCTTCTTCCTTCTCCTCTGTGGACTTCGCCTTCTATCTAGAGGTGAATGGCTCTGATTTCTGCTTCGAGGTCCCCCACTTATATACCTCCCAATATAGCAAGAATCATCTGAGTCGCTATCACTAGCACCATCACGAACCAAACGCCCAAATTTGTCCAATTTATGTTGAAAACCAAGAGTCATATTTTCATCCTCTAGCCTAGGTTCCTTTTGTAACTTATCACTGTCAACATTAGAACCAACCTCAACATTTTCAGAGTTGTCATCAGAACCACAGTCTTGGATAAGGCTGAATGAACAGCCACTTTTTGCAAGTTGACCAGAAGTATTTGATTTCTCCAAACTTGTGAGAGGAGGTTGTTTAGTAGGTACAACTGACTTGACTGAGTTAGTTTCGGAACAGATGCCCCGATTGCCATTTGGTCAGCCTTGGCTATAACTTCAGGACCTGTTTCACAAGGAAAAAACTCTTAAACTTGCCAAACATACACCAGATTAGAGAAAATTACAAGAAATAAAGGCATGTCAATGAGCATTCTGGGACACTACAGAACTACGTAATAACTGCATTCTGGAGCTATCAGCTATAAACATTGATAAAGCAAGAAACAAGAGGTCCTAAAAAATTAAATAACAAATAGATATTAACTGACCTTCTTTAACCAATCTTGAATAACCAACATCTGATTCTTTTTCAGATAAAATGTCCTTGTTTGCATTGCCATCTGCCGATATTTGCTCTGGGTGACAGTATAACTGCTCGTCTACATTAAGCACGTTGTTGATATCACTCCGACTTTTCAGGCCTTTGGGTGAATGGCTTATTCCCTGGTCTTCATCAATTTGGGTGATATCATCTTGAAATCACCAACCAGAATATACAAAAAAAATATATATATAAAAAGATCAGCATGCAACAATAAACAGATACTTAGAAAATACACGTAAAAGTACAGTTCATAAGATAAAAGTAATATACATAATAAAATACAATTTCTTCTCTGTTGAGTTTACAATGATCATTACAAAGTTCAAAGGACGTCTATCCCAAAAAGATCAGTACTGTTTCTTTTGGAGCTCATAACATGTGAACGGACAATCTTTCTATATGAACTTAAAAGATTTAACTTTAATACGCCGAAGATAAAAATATTGTAAACATGATGAAGCATAACCATAGTAAAAATGCCAACCTTCCATCTCCATGTCAGAATCACCAGGCGAATGAGATGCAGCTGCAATCACCAAAGGGTAGGGTTGCTTGAAAGACATGTTTTCTGGAGGCCGTAAAGATGAATCTTCTTGCCATTCATTTGATTTACAGGTCAAAATACTTCTGTTTTTCATCCACTGGAAAAAGTCATGTGCTATAGCATCCTCACTTCCAGGCTGTACAAATTTACTATGGAGTTCTGGAGCCCAGTCTACCTGAGAATTCAGAGTTCAGACCCAAAAAGTACTAAATTCCTACGCCTATATATAATTGTAGAAAAATATTTACTTAATCATAAATGTTCAAAGGAAATTAATCAATAAATATTGATGGGAACTCTTTTTCAAGTCTGTGTGCTGGAAAACTGGATGTTACACATTAACAGAAATATAGCAAACATTACAGCACACAATAGATGATTCTAAGCTGTAAACCATCCAGCCTACTGGTTACTATCCAATCAATCAATATATATAAGGATACATACAAGTAACTGACAAGAACTGTGTCACTATCCAAGCCAAAGCAGTGCCATATACTATTGCTCATTGTTAATTACTAAACAAAAAATACCCAATAAGAAGAAATGAAAAGAATTTATTAAACTCACTTGCAACAACCAGCAATGGAAGCAAGTCCATTAGTTGAAAACCCTTCAGAAGAAGAAGACACCAATACTTTGATGGTCTTAAACGACTTAGCAATAAGCTCCAAGCTTTAGTGTATAGATTGCCTGAAAACCAATAAGAAAATATTTGTAAATAAAGCTACTCTTCTAATTTGAATACCACCTCCAATATAAGCTAAATTTAAGATTCGGAACTGAGCATTTGTAACTCTTAAAAGCTGGTTCAAAATCGTAATTATCTCTTCATGCACTTGTTAATCTCCCTTTAGGATTTTGTTAGTTCTTTCTGGTCCAAAACTACCAACACAAGCAAACAGGAAATAAAACCAAGAAAATTTGCAACAAAACATAACCAATAAGGAAAATTCATTAAATTGGAACATTGGATGATAAAAGGTCTCAGACACGACTACTTACTTACCCGAATAGGCTTCCTGAATTTGCTGGGATTTATGCCTCGCTTCACCCAATAGGATTTCGGGTTTGGAGACTTCCGGGCGATATCTTCAAGATCCGAACGGTGGAAGCATTCCTTGAATATATTTCGAAACAAACATCCTCCAAACTTCGACGGCGTAGATCCTGAGCAGAGAGGCTCGAACTTTAGATGTTAGTTTTGTAATATTTGATAACTTTCTAGAAAAATCTAAAGGATAGACGCCACGGTTTTTTGGCTCCGATCGATGAACAGACGCCGGCGAGGGTCGCGTTGAGCGGGGGTGTGAGATGACGGCAGCGTTAATTTTTTAGAAAAATATGACGGGGGTGTTAGGTTAAAAAAGGGATTTGTTTTTATTTTGCGAGGAGGGGATGATTTAAAATGGTAATAAAATTGGTGGAATACATTACTATATTAGTATTAGAGTTCGATTTAATTATAATTTTTTATTAGTTCGAACGATTATAATATAATATATTTTTAAAATATTTTTAATTATTTAATTATAAAAGATCAATTACTTTATGAACATCGTGTTTAAATTTAAAATCTCAAAAGATAAAAATTATTCCTTTAATCAATAAAGTTATTTAATTCGTACTCGTTAAACTATATTAAATGTAATTTTTATTTGAATTTCTTCTTATTTTTTATCATCAAATTTTAATAATCAACGTTTTGATTACTTATGTTATTGATTTATTATATTTTACTCATTGAATCGTCAACTTCCATTAGGTTGATGATATAACACGTTAATAAAAATAATTAATTTTTAATTTAACATTAAACTTTAAATGAAATATCAATTTGATCTCGCCACCAAAAATAACTTCTTCTAACCTAAACTCTAACATCTATTACCGTCGACCCCTTTAACCACTCTTAAAGGTTATCAACCTCTTTAAATAAACAAAAATTATAGAAAAAAACTCATGCATCGATTAAATGTAGGAATGACAAAACGACCCGAATCCGACGGGAAAACCTGAAATCCGACTAAATTCAGGTTGGGTCGGGTTTGCATAATATCGGATCAGGTATCGAGGTAAAATTCGAAGATTTTTTCGGGTTCGAGTTTTGGGTAAGGTATCCCGACCCGATTATATATATATATATATATATATATATATAATATTTTATATATTTTATATTAATTATATATATAATATTTTTTATTTTTTATTAATTATACATATATAATGTTTTATATTTTTTATATTACTTATATATATAATATTTTATATTTTTATATTAATTATATAATACAAACCCTAAACATTAAACATTAAACATTAAACCTCTAAACCTAAACACTAGCTTTTATAATTATTAAAGTAAAAATTGATTGATTTATTGATAAATTTCTCGATGTAATCCTAAATCATAAACACTAAACCCTAGTTTTTTCTCAGGGTCAGGTTCGGGTTCGGGTATAATATTTTGGGTCGGGTTCGGGGACAAGGTAAAAAAAATCTCCGACGGGGCACCCCGATAAAAAACCTGACGGGGAACGGGGCGGAGACGGAGGGAGCAAAACTGTAACACCCCCAACCCGTATCCGACCCGGATACGAGTCCGAAGTGTCACATTGACTTTTCAAACCTTGACTCTTAAGAAAAATCCCGGGAAATTTAAAACTTTATTTAAAACAAAATACAGACTTTATCAGAGTGCTCGTACTTAATGACTTATTACATGCCAACACTTTATACATAACCAAATACATACTTTGTCAAATATTTCTGATATGATCTTTTGGTAAGGAAAACTGACCTGTCTTGCTCCGCATCACTCTTTACTCTTCTCGAAACCTACGTGTGAAACAATCACACGCTAAGTCGAAGACTTAGTGAGGCATAACAACTTATAATGCACTTTAAAACATATATCGATACATGCATGTTCTGTTCTATCATGTTATAGCAATTCCATGCATTTTTCCTATCGTATAAAATCATATCAGATTAATTGCAGTAAATACATACATACACATAATTCATCATTAACAGTTTATCATATAATCACATACTTTTTCAATCAAACACTATACACACACAACATCATATCATTTCTATAGCATTTATCATACCACTAACTTATATTTGTTCATATCTCTGGATTAGCCCATGTACATATGTGAGAACTATCGATATGTGAGTCTATAGAGGTTGTGCACTAATGCTGTCACCACAGCTCGTATAATTGCACCGAAGTGCCGCGTAGAATTGCATCGTAGTGCCATATAATAATGTCCATAAGGACCACATAGAATTCCTTAAGAATCATATACATATGCTATGGATCAAGTATGTGTCTTTCAAGACTTCACACATGTTCCACAGAATATATATATATCCCGAAGGACCGCGTAGAATTGCACCGTAGTGCCATATAATGATGTCCATAAGGACCACATAGAATTCCTTAAGAATCATATACATATTCTAGGGATCATATATGTGTCTCACCAGACTTCACACATGTTCCAAAGAATATATATATATATCCCGAAGGACCGCGTAGACCCTCGACTCTTGGCATGCCAACTATACCCCTAGCTCTCATGACACATAACATGGGCGTTATCATTTATTTCATTTCAGATATTCACATAAACTTATAATTCACTTTCACATATCACGTATCACGTAGCTTCTTTTCATATTATCACATAGTCACGTAGTTCACTTACACGTAGATCATTTCCATATAATTCACATGTCACATATGTCATGTTTTCATATAATTTCTATCATTTCTCACCCAATCACCTTTATTCATGTAAACATACTTATCATATCTTGTTCACATAAGATCATATACTTCATATAATATATCGAAACACCTAGAACACTTTCACGTAGCTTATAGTCATAGGTCTTATCTCATAACATATACTTGTTTTCACATATATATTTCATATCATTTCTTATACCATCACATAATTCATTTAACATACATAACATATTATGTAACATTATAATAGAAATACCTATAAGTCTATCACTTAGAGCACACATATACTTATAGTCACATGCTTATATCTTAATCTTATGCCTTCTCTTAGACATATATATATATATATATATATATATATATATATATATATATATATATATATATATATATATATATATATATCATGTTCAGGTAATCCACCATTTTATCACATAATTATGTATTTATATACTCATTTCATTTCATATCCATCTATATAAATGTATATTCTCAAGATTTATCCTAATATAAATCATATAGCACTCTTATAATTCATATTCATATTCATCTAGGGCAGACTTAAAACACATCTCACTTCTATTATTTCTTTATATATATATATAATATATATATATATATATATATATATATATATATATATATATCTAATCTGTTTACTTAATTCAATTTCATATAACTCCTATAATCTTCTCATATAACTTCATAAATTTCTATCATACAACCCCTGTGTTATAGTTTTATTTAAACATATGAATCTTTCCCATCTAGCTTATCTTATATGTTCATCTTATCATTTATGTTCAAATCTCCTAGTTAGTGTACTATTCTCACTTCATCCTATAGATCAATATTATCCAGCTTATTTCACTTATCATATAATAATATTATAGTTTACTATGATCACATAGTTTATATCTCATATAATTCATAACCTTTCTTATGTAATTACTTATACTTTCTCACCTAACACATAAAAGAACAGATCAATCCATATAATCAAGCATACATACATGCATATTCAATTCATGCCTTTAATCATGCATTCATGTGTAAGACTTCAGGAAATAGACTCATCGCAATTCTTATTCCCATCGCACATCATATACTATTGAATATGCACTCACCTGGGCCTCGTTGTTTGAATCAATCCTAATCCTTAGTTTGTTCCGGAACAAGCTTTCATTCTATATCTACATAATAATACATTAATACTTATCAGTATACTGATTGATATATTCGAAACTATCACTCCTTAGTCTCAAAGAAAAGCCAATTTCATCTTTTAATGAAGGTATGCATCGATGCACTACACCATGCATCGATGCATAAATCCTATTCGATGTTTGTATTTAATGGGGATGCATCGATGCACTCCTTATGCATCGATGCATAAATCCTATTCGATGTTTTCTATTTAAATTCATGCATCGATGCACTGCATGTGCATCGATGCACCTTAAACAAATTTCTGGTATTTATCATCTATGCATCGGTGCACAATGAATGTGCATCGATGCACATTGCCCAGAACTGACATTTTAGCACGTAAATCATCAACTCTTCCCTTAATTCTTCTATTTTAAGCCCCTATTTTGACCTTAAACTCAACTACTATAACTTAAACCAACTTATATCCATGTAAATCATCTTTAACCTCAAAATCCTATCTTCTTTATGAGATTCAAGAATCATACCAAATTTTCTATATGTTCTAAATCCAATTCTAACACTTAATACTTCTTAATTAAGCTGATGACAAGTCAAATCCAACTTTAGAACTTCAAAAACCTTTCTATAACAAAATTTCATTTATAAACCCTTAATAGAAATTCCTTTCTAATTCTATCTCTTTGGTGTTTTAAGCTTATATAACCCTCAAAGACTCAAATCCAACTTAAAACTTTCAAGAAATCATAAGTTAAATCAAACTTACCTTTGCTCTTGGCTTCCACGTGAAGAAGAAGAAGAAAGGAGAAAAGAATTCTGGAGAATTCTCTCCCTCTCCACGTGTATATAATTCCCTTTTTTTTTCTTAAATGATCAAATGACCATTTTACCCTTTATTTCCTTTAATAATTACTGAATAACCTTCATCATATTTCCAAGAAGTCATTGAACTATTCCATTATCCTACTTTAGTCACCAAATTCTGAAACTTTACAATTTGGTCACTAACCCGGTAATGCGGATGTTACAAAAACCCACCCCGAACCCGCCCCGTTGCCATTCCTAATTAAATGATTAGAACAAAATAAATCTCTCCAAAATCCTTCAAAATGGATTAGTTCAAAATCTCGTGTTCAAACTCAATTTAGCTTGATTCTTATTTAATTAAACTCAAACTTGTTTCAATGAACCCAATTACTCTAATCTATTAATCCATCAACAATCCAATGACACATACGAATTTTAATTCAAAAAATTTGGTCGCTACAAATACTAATAAAATCCGATTCAAAAATAAAAGAGATGATGATAATGAAATGTGATAAGTAGAAATAGAACGATCCTTTGAGAGATTTTCTTCAAATCCAATCCCTATTTTCAATCCTTAGCATTTCAATATCGGACAATCAATTAGAATGGTGGAAAAATGAGAAAGATAGAAAGGAATAATATATTTTCATTCAATGAAGATCTATATGTGCTAAAGGTGGATTAGAGCTCGAAATGCATAGAGATTTGAGGTTATATCCAAAATATTTGAAGAGGTTTTCTTGAAAATATGAACTCGTAAAAAAGAAAGAAGAGAATAAAACGAGATTGTTGATAGTTTTCGATCAACAAAAGAGATCAACGACAATAATCGCATCATAGTGGTGACTGAGGAAGCGATGTTTATTTAGGATTCAATTAAAGAACAAAAGTTTTTTGTTGAGGAAAAACGAAATAAAACGAAAGCAAGAAGTTTTTTCTTTCAAGTGAATTCAAATGACCAAAATGTCGCTTTCATAGTTCAATGATCAAAACAAGAAAAAAATCCAAATAAAATTGATCTTCATTGTAATTTACCCTAAATTTCAAGTGGATCGGGAGAATCTCCTTGTAAATGGACATCTATAATGTTCTATCTAAATTAGTAAATCTAATATCGTTAAACCATAAAACAATAAAAGTTAACATAAAATTGCCAATGAGCATGAATGAATGAGAAGGTTCAATTATTTTCTTCCAAGAAATACCAACCTTCAACAACCCTAATTAAAATTGTTGGAAATGAGCTCCCTTTTTCCAATAAGATTATCCGTTCTCAACATTTCATTAAACTACCACCACACACATTTATGGAAACTCATGGCAAGACAAGAACAGAGATGGAACAATAGGTTTTTATTTTCCATTCTTCGTTTTTTTTTAAAATATTCATGTTCGATGTTATATAGGGATATGATTCGCTTACAATTTTCCAATTATAAATAAAATCTTTACAAAATTCGAGTCAACATAAGAATATTTAATTTTATCACAAGTTTGTTTTTGGTGCTTGTAATTGTCTCCGAACCAATGCAGTGTAAACGCCATTTCGGCTAAGAAGTTGTTCATGATTGCCCCTTTCAACAATCCGTCCATCAGAAATAACTGCCACTGTGTCTGCACTTTGGACCGTTGATAACCTATGAGCTATCACTAATGCAGTTCTTCCTCTCATCAGAGAATCCATGGCATCCTGCACGAAATACGACACAACTCCAAAAATTATTGTATATGGAAGTTAATAACACATAAGATTGGATCAAAATGATGTGAGAACCCATGGCATCAAGGCAATTTATGTAAAGGAGAGAACTTGAGATTTATGGACTAAACAGGTTATAGACTACAGTTTCTTAAATGTATAAGATTCCGATTCCGATTCAAATAATGTGATAAGGTACGAGGAGAGAATTCGAGAATTATGGATACACAATTTAAGAACATGGTTTCTTTAATGAATAAGATATGGATCCAGATAATGCAGTATTCTTACCTGCACAAGGTATTCGCTTTCGGCATCCAGGGCACTTGTGGCTTCATCCAGTAGGAGAATCTTCGGATTCATCAGCAACGCTCTCGCTATCGCTACCCTCTGCTTCTGTCCTCCCGAAAGCCGTACTCCGCGCTCTCCGACACAAGTCTGATATTTGTCCGGAAATTTCGATATGAATTCATGAGCATTGGCCATTTTCTGCAATTTCTCAACATTTAAATGTCAATGGACGCTGGCATAGCGGTTCCTGTAGTCTTGAAGATGCAAAAAAGGCTTACTGCTGCATTTTCGATATCATTAATATCAGCTTGGCCTTGGCATCCATAAGCTATGTTTTCCTCTATCGTGCAGTTGAAAAGGACTGGTTCCTGGCTTACTATGCTGATCTGAACATCAAAGAATCCAGATAGTCAAAAATTGAGGTACGAACATGTTCGGCATTCATATCCAACACATACCGGAACATGATATTGCGATATGACTCTCAATGATCCCAAATCAATGACATTGTTGAAAATTTTATGTTTTTGGATTGACTTTAGAAGTTAGCAAGATCAAGACTACCTTTCTGTGAAGATATTCATGTGATATTTCTACCAAAGGAACCCCATTCAATAGAATCTTTCCCTTCATTGGATCATAAAACCTTTCGATCAAGCTCGCTATCGTGCTCTGCAGCAGACACGGTAAAACAGGTGGTATAATGTTCTGCAACAATGGTGTTCGAAAACAAGCTAGAAATGTTTTTAAACAATGTAAAAGTTTCGGATAAAGGTAATACTTTTCCTCCACCACTGGGGCCAACCAGAGCCACTTTTGATCCTGGCTGCAGTTTAAGTGTTATTCCCTGAAAAAAACACCAATGGATCAGGTAATACTGACCGGAAGACCGTTTATATCGGGATAATACGTTCTCGAAACGATAACCAAGTATGAACAGATGAATACCTTGAGTACTATATGATTAGGACGGGACGGATAGGCGAACCAGACATCGTCCAACTCGACTTCTCCATCTTGATCACTGAAATAAAACAATGCCGCTTTGTTACTTTTAGCGCTCATTTACACCATCCATGATGGAAGCTGATAATCCACCATTGATTTCTGTAACATGCTCATAAAAAAGAATCATTAAGAAAGAATGAACTAACCCCAATGGACACTTATCTCCTGATTTCGGCATCGATGAGGCTCGATCCAGAAGCTGAAAGACACGCCTGCTAGCTCCTGAAGCTTTCATTGCAACAGTGTAAAACCCTGAAAGTCCGGACACAGAAGTTCCGACTGCAAGTGCGAATAGCCGAAACATATTAATGAAAGTAGGAAACCAGCACACCAGACGGCAAACTTGGCGATGAAATGTGTATATACTCACACATGCATTAATGTACATCAATATAGGCAACAAGGGGCATACCCGTGAGACTATAAAGAATGAAGGACGTTAGAGCACCGGGGGTCATTGAACCTTTGATTGTCAAATTAGCTCCGTATATAACTACGGCAATAACCGACAATGTCGATGCAGCATTTAGGCCTCCGAAGAAGAAACCGACCACTTTCTGTTGCAATCAGAGATGAGATTATTTGCTGAATCAGTCGGGGGAAAAAGAGGGATTGAATAACACATGGGAACTTACTGCTTGTTTAAGTCCAAGATTCAGTGTGTCATCTACTTTCAGAGAGTAGCGAGATATTTCATGCTCTTCTTGTGCAAAAGATCTCATCGTTCGAATTGCTCCGAATGATTCCTAAACAACAATTCAAAAACTTTGCATCTGATTTTTAACAAACATAGATGTACTCCATACTGCATTTTATAACACAAGACAAACCTCAGCAATCGAAGCGGCTGCTGCAGCTGCGGCTTGAGTCTTGTGTGAAAGTTTACGAACGTAGCGACCAAATCGATGAACAGCGACAGAAATTAAAGGAACGACAGCCAATGCCAGCACTAGAACATATAAACAAGGTAAGATTACATTGGATCTATTCTAAATAAACACTTCAAAACACTGCTTTGAGGATTAAAACTAACTATTTACATGTTAGTTTCCACGATGTTGCAAACATGAAACCGAGTCCAATGACTGCCGTCGACAAGTTTCGTAAGGCCTCGGAGAGACTGGTAGTTGCAGCATTCTTTATGATCTGTGTATCTTCCGATAGCCTGCTCAAAAGTTCGCCTGTCCTAGTGATATCGAAGAAGGCTATTTCCTGCAAAACTCATCAACCGTTGTAACAATAGTTCATATGATTGAAATCTTTCACATTAAATTAGTAGGTGTTTTTACCTGGTTAACAAGATGACTAAACAAGTTCTTTCTCAATCGGGCAACGACCCTTTCGCTGGCAGCGGAAAACAGCCACGTTCGCAGCGCAGTGAACACCGAACTGAAATCAGAAAACAAAAGTAAAAAAATAAAACACGATGAACCCTCTACATGCTGTTGGACTGAAAAATATAAATGTCATAAAAGTAGATACTGTTTATACCCGGCTATAACAATCAGAAAAATTTCAAGTACGGTGTTCCTAACTGCAGCTAATGCTTTAGCCTTCTGTTCCGGTGCTGTGATATCACCGGAGACAATATCGATTATCTTCCCTCCAAACTTTGGCTGCAGAAATGAACCATCTCTTTTCGTATATCCATAAAATCGAGAGAAACGGTAAGAAATACAGAAACGATACATACAATCAGTATGGTTGAAGTGGAAGCAAGCAAGAGAGCAATTGTTGCTAATATGAGTTTCCCTGCGTCAGGCTTTGCCTGTCATATGGTACAATGTTAAAATTCCAAAATTTTCCATGTTTATGCCATTACATGATAACAATGCCGAATTTCATCCACTTACAAGTAAAAGCACTCTGCTGAAACTGGCATCTGCAGCCTGAGAGTTTCAAAGAAATCATCAGCCATTAACATAGAATCTCATATGAACATTAAAAAGAAAAAAGAAATTCGACTTTACCGGAATTGCATCGCCATGCTCAAGGTCTGTCAAACTATAATCCGCGTTCTTATTCCTCTTCACCTTCCCCTATGTATGGATGAAATCATAGTTAGATAATATGTAACATCGAGCTTTCGAGTGTGAATGTCGGATACGAATATGTTTTAAGGATCATATCTACATTCTACGTACTCATGAACAATACGTACATAATAAACCCTAAACACCAGTAACATATGGAGAAGGAACTTACTCTTGCGAAAGGAGCTCTACCAGCTTTATCGAAACGCATCCCAGAAAAACTGTGAATGAGAAAAGTTGAAACGGAGCAAAGACAGATGCAGTGATTATATTTATCACGTAGAACAAGGTTGATATCGACTCCCGTGTGAATGGAAAACCTGTGAAGCTGAAAGAGGTGAGTGGAAGAAGCTTTTAGATTTTCATTTCATGATTGACTCCCGTTTGTGTGTGGCTCTCCCATCTCCTTACGTGTCTGTATATATACAGAGACTATAATATAATTTGAAATTTTTATGGGAAAAATACATTAACTGCCGTTTTCGATCTAATTTTATCTAAATATATGATCATTTGAAATTTTTAAAGGAAGATGTCCCGAACCCCTCGAACCATCCCCTGTGAGAGACGGAGAGTTTTGAGTCCACTTGAATTAACGGGCCATCCATGGGTTCGTGATCACCCACGTAATGGTTGAGTTGCTTTCCGACATTTATGTTACCAGTTGAATTCAACGAATTTGACATGTGCACTGCTGCCCTGCATCTGTTCATATTGACGAAGACGACCCAAGTCCGTCTTCTTTGTCCATTACGTAAGGTTGTTAACATGTCACGTTTGTTGAATTAATGTCATCTCACTGAATTTCATGACACTCAATTATCATAAAGTTCTTTTAATTATTTAGAAAATTTATATTTAAATCTATAAATTTAAGGTAAAATATATAAATGATACCTTGACTATCTAACGTTACTTTGTTTAGTCATCCGGTTATTAAAAGTTATAAAATGATCCCTCAACTATAGGGTGTTGTTTTGTTGAGTTCCACAACTATGGAAAATTACAAAATGGCACATAACTATTCATATGCTCTAAGTTCATCATTTTTCGTTAAAAATTTGGTGATTGTCTGAAGATACTGAATTTTGACTACTGATATTATATACTATATTTTTATTTATAAACTATATTATATAATAAATATATATTTTTTTATTAATTTGGGTTGTATTTTACATTTATAGGCCCAACAGATATAATAAATATATATATTTTTATTAATTTGGGTTGTATTTTACATTTATAGGCCCAACAGCAATGACCCAAATCCCACGTGACCCAAGTGACCCAGCTGCCCAAACCAGTATGGATTAGGGTTTGTATAAACCCTAATCTCTCAAACTCTCATCCAACCGCCAAGTATCTTGACCGTTGGACGGTCCACAGCAAACCCCTCTAGGGTTTCCAGGAATCCTAAACCAATCTCGTCCAGCGCCGTTTTTTGGTCAACCTCACGTCTCCCACTCCCAGATTTCACGGCCGCACATCTCATCTTTAACAACTCTGATTCCTCCGACGCAAGGATTTCGTGGAGATAACAAACCAATAAACAACTGAAGTGTTAGTATTCTATTAGGAATCAAACACCAAAATAGGGGCATTCGAACCCTATAAATACATGTAATCAATACCCCATTGTACACGGGATTTACACACGAAATAGATACAAAATTCAAGCAAAATTCGCAAAAAATATTAGAGTTAAACAGAGGAAATTTCGCAGGATTTTCGAAGAAAGAAATAAGTAGAAAAGGTAAAAGCTTGTACCTTTATCACTCTTGGTCTTTGCATGTGTGTTTCTCCATTATTTTTGTTCGATCCAAACCCCCAAAAGGAAAAGTTTTGGCCGATAAAGCAAAGCGAGGCCCTTTTTCGAAAGCTCGTCCCCTGATCTAGCCCTCGGGGCTTTGTGTTTTTTAAAAAAACGTTTTTGGTTTTTGAAAAATGATTAAAAACGCTTTCGAGATTTTGAAAAAAAAAATTTATTTTGTCGCCGATGAACGGCGGCCGGCGCGGGGTGGCCGGAATATGGGCACCAAGAACACGACAACTTGTGTTCTTCATTTGGAAGAACAAATGAGAGCATTTGTTTAAAATGAGGGAGGAGCGTTTTGCGTGGGAGAAGAGAATGAAAGTTTTAAAAAAAATTAACATATATACTCGGCCCATGGAACGAGCTGGTGACTCGCGTGTCGACCCTGACCCGAAAAGGATCCGTACGTTTTTGCTCATTAATGGGTTAATCCCACATTTGGTCCTCCTCATTCATAAAGGCCTTAATTTACCCCTGTAATTTCAGATTCTCTTCGAAATGATTTGAATTCTGTCACTCAGTTTTTCTTTTTTACAAATTGGTCTTTTTTCTAAATCTTAATTTTAATTTTCCATTTTTTATATATTACATTATAATATTTATATATATATTTTTTATATTATTATTATGATTAGCTTTTAGTTTTTTTACATACCCGTATTATCAGTATTTCAATATTTATTTATTTTATTTATATGTTATATTATATATATCTATTTATTTTATTTCTTAATATTTTATTTTATTTTTTGTTATATTATATATATTATTTTATTTCTTAATATTTTTCTATTTCTTTTAGTCCACAAGCTAATATACATACATATATATATATATTATCTTCTTTTCCCTTGTTTTTGTTCATTTATCCTTCAAAACGGTTAAAGGTAAGTAATTTGGATGTACATTTTACCTTTTAATTTAGATTAACAACTTTTTTAACTAAAGACAATTGGAAATTACGTAGTAATGAAAGGGCGGTTCAAGGGTGCTAGTCATTCCTTGACCGTAACCGACTCCCGAGCCCGACACATTTCTGGTAAGACGTAGATCAGGTAAGAAATAAGGTATCCGATCAACCCATTTTTTTAAATAAATGATCGGTGGCGACTCCTAATCCATTTTTCTAAGTCGAAGCCCAATTTCGGGCCCAATGGAAAGACGGTTCCGACAGCTTGGTGACTCCGCTGGGGACAAGTAAGTGAGTCAGGCTAAGGTAATTTCCAATTGTCTTTTTAACGAAAAGGGTAAGTTTAAATTTTAAGGTAACATTTCAATCCTTATTACTTACTTTTGATTATATTTTCGAGTAAATAGTTGTACTAATCGTTTTCTAATGATTTCAGCCTTTAAAGCTTTTTTCACTTAAGGCTCTATACCCGAGCTCTGAACCTTGTTTTAAGTGGGGGTGAAAGCGACGCCTTCGTGTGAATTTATTCACCGTGCGGGCCTAGCAAGTAGCCTTCGAGATTCATATACCTTATGTCTTCGTGTGAATTTATTCACCGTGCGGGCATAAGGAAATGTCTCCTCTCGAGTTTAACTTAGTCCATACAAGCCTGTGATGGGTTTAGGACTAAGGGTATGTCAAACCCAAGGGGCATCGACAAGGAGAACTCGGGTACCGTTTTTTAGAACCTAAACCGGGAGACTATGGATAATTAAAGCCTACCCCGAAACCATATTTCAAACCCTAGGATATTTTTACCCTAACTATGTTTTTTCCTTCTTACTCTTCTTATTTTTCTTTCGTCATTTCTTATTTATTTATTTATTTATTTATTTATTTTTTTACTGACTTGTTTGCCTTTGTGTTTGTTTTTTTAGCATTTGCATCATTACAAGAGGCTATTGATCCTTAAAAAGTGTTTGTTACACAAAAAATAATCTTAATTAATGGACAAATATGTTGTAATACAAGAGATTGAAAACCCCGAGATTCGACTATAGTCCAAGAAGACTCAGAAGGAAAAGGGAGACAGTCTTCAAGGAAGTTATGTATCAGAGCTGGTTAACTACGCCTCTATCAGCCTAAAACAGAACAATGTGCAAGAGCTTCGAGACATTTGGGACAGTCGGAAGAATGACAGAAAGCAGAAGTTCAACCAACGATATGGTGATATTGCCCTCTTACTTCATGTCAAGACTGATGAGCCCCTGCTCCGAGCCTTGATTCAGTTCTGGAACCCGGGATATAGTTGCTTCACCTTTAACCGGGAGGACATGGTGCCCACTATCGAAGAGTACACTACACTACTGCACTGCAAAAATGTCAGACTAGAGATGGTATTTATCAAACACATCAAGAGTCATCCTTTCAAGAATGGACTGGCTAAGATTGCAGGAGTTGATGAAAAATGGGTGACTGATCGACTCCGACACAAAGGTAGCGGGGAAGAAATCGAGTGGATCCACATACCACATAAGGCAACTAATGAAGAACGAACCTGATGAATGGAAGACTATATACCTTTTTGCACTAGGTTTGGTTATCTTTTTGAAGACTTTGGGGTGCATCAACGCAACCGTGGTGGAACTATCTGAACAACTTCCAAGTTGAGTCAACCCAGTACCAACCATCTTAGCCGAAACCTTTCGATCTCTCAATCATTACAGAAGAGCTGATGGAGGAAGGTTCATTGGGTGTGTTCAGCTTCTTCAAGTCTGGATTCACAGCCACTTCTAGAAGACTAACGGGGTTGCCTACCGTCGATTTAGCACCACCTATTCACCTTTGGGAGAGTTCATCACAATGAAATGGAATGAATGTGCTTCAAAGGAAAAGTTGATGAAAGTCTTTACACATCTTCAGGATCGGGATATTACCTGGAGAGCCCCCTGGTTATTCCTCGGTGACGTTCTTTTTCGGTGTGGGGATTCTGATACTATGACCTTACTCGGACTTTGAGGTGCAGTTGGGTATGCTCTGTTGTTAGCACTTAGATAGTATGGGGCACGTCAGTTTGTCCCAGCAATAAGCTGACTAGATAGATCAGAGTTTGTGTATCACAGTGACAGTTATAAGAAAATGATCAAGAAAACAGTCGATTCATGGAAGAAAGTATTCCGGATGGATGTTGTAGCTGCCAGAGACATGCTTACTCCGGATTATGAGGAGTGGCGAAGATTGAGGAAAAATGACAACATCCCGGTGCCAGACTGTGAAGATACACGGACCATGGAGGAACATCTCAGGTCTGTCCCTTCCGAACTAGAAATAGCCAAGGCAGAGTTCGAAGCTGTTAACAATGAGTTGAAGCAGAGGGTAAGGGAACTTGAAGCTGAACGCTCTCAGTGGAAGCTAAACGCCGACACTTAGAAAGATCGAGTAGACAAATTGGAAAGAGAACAGAAAAGAGTCTGTTTTGAGCTCGAAGATTTGAGAAAGGGGTATCAAGATAAAGTCAATGATAACTCCAAGTTAAAAGTAACCTCTGAATACTGGAAAGACGAAGCTCACATCATGA